AATTGAAATCTCTATGAATAATGATCTTTCTAAATTGTATCAATGGTCCAGTGACTGGCTTGTTAGCTTTAACCCCTCTAAAACCAAAGTAGTCCTTTTTTCAACCAAACCCATAAGCCAATTACCAAACTTGATTCTCGGTCAGGAACCTTTAGAATTCGTACCATTCCATAAACATCTTGGCATCACATTATCGAATGATCTAAAATGGTCGATCCATATCGATACGATTTGTAAGTCTGCCTATAAATTGATTGGTGTTTTACGTAAACTTAAATTCACTCTCAACAGAAAAACCCTCTTAAGCATTTATACAACTTATGTAAGGCCGCGTCTAGAATTTGCCTGCCAGGTGTGGGATTGCTGTAATATCTCAGATTTAGACCGTCTCGAACATGTCCAGCTTGAAGCCGCCAGAGTCATAACAGGTCTCACTAAATATTGTAAAATTGAATCCCTATATTTCGAAACCGGCCTGCATACACTTTCCGAACGTAGGAAAACCCGTCGTCTTTCTCTTCTCTATAATATTGTCCACAATAATGCGCCCAATTATCTTATTGATATCTTAACCCCTATTGATGCTACTCCTAGATTTTATAATCTCAGAAATTCAAATGAAATCCCGATTCCCTTTGCCCGTACTACTGCTTACCAACGATCGTTTTTTCCCTCTACCACTCATGATTGGAATCTATTAGACGCACAGTTAAAAGACTCCCCCTCCATTAAAGCTTTCAAAATCAATCTTAAAAGAAGTTTCTTATCAAATTCAGCCCCTGTTTATTTTGATGCTCGAGACAGACGTGAAAATATTTTATTAACACGAATTCGTCACAATTGTAGCGGTTTAAATGCTGATCTTTTCAAAATAAATGTTATTACCAATTCTTCTTGTAAATGTGGCTATCATACGGAAAATTCGTTTCATTATTTTTTTGACTGTCAGATTTATCGAGCCCAGCGATTAGTACTTTTGTCTAACTTGTCTGACTATGTTGTAAATTTAGAGCTAATTCTGTGTGGTAATCGTAACTTTTCTGTAGATACTAATATTATAATTTTTAAACATGTCCATGACTTTATTAAACACTCTAAACGCTTTTAATTGCAAGTTTTACATCTATAATGAATCTATTACCATTATTTTCTGGTTGTCGGTTTATGTTGTTGTTTATATTTTGTTTTCTTCTCTAATTTTTCTTTTCTTTTCTAAAGATTCCAAGTTATTTTGCTTTTAATAACTTTGTTTGTAAAATATGTTCGTATCTTGTCAATATTATTGTGTATAACTTTGTGTGGAGCGGATTTTTCCTAAGTTCTTGAAACTTGCATCCAATCCCTTTGATTTTCCAATAAAATATGTTTAAACGTAAACGTAAACATGACTGGTAAATACTGTCAAATCATTAGTCTAGAGCTCTAGTCAGACATGACTGGTAAATACAGCCAAATCAACAGTCTAGAGCTCTAGTCAGACATGGCTGGTAAATACAATCAAATCAACAGTCTAGAGCTCTAGTCAGACATGACTGGTAAATACTGTCAAATCAATAGTCTAGAGCTCTAGCCAGACATGACTGGTAAATACAGCCAAATCAACAGTCTAGAGCTCTAGTCAGACATGACTGGTAAATACAGCCAAATCAACAGTCTAGAGCTCTAATCAGACATGACTGGTAAATACAGCCAAATCAACAGTCTAGAGCTCTAGTCAGACATGACTGGTAAATACTGTCAAATCCACAGTCTAGAACTCTAGTCAGATATGACTGGTAAATACAGCCAAATCAACAGTCTAGAGCTTTAGTCAGACATGACTGGTAAATACAGCCAAATCAACAGTCTAGAGCTCTAGTCAGACATGACTGGTAAATACAGCCAAATCAACAGTCTAAAGCTCTAGTCAGACATGGCTGGTAAATACAATCAAATCAACAGTCTAGAGCTCTAGTCAGACATGACTGGTAAATACAGCCAAATCAACAGTCTAGAGCTCTAGTCAGACATGGCTGGTAAATACAATCAAATCAACAGTCTAGAGCTCTAGTCAGACATGACTGGTAAATACTGTCAAATCAATAGTCTAGAGCTCTAGCCAGACATGACTGGTAAATACAGCCAAATCAACAGTCTAGAGCTCTAGTCAGACATGACTGGTAAATACAGCCAAATCAACAGTCTAGAGCTCTAATCAGACATGACTGGTAAATACAGCCAAATCAACAGTCTAGAGCTCTAG